CTTTTTGAGCTATATTACTACTGTTGTTTTTTATTTTATTATATTGTTTTATTTTATCTATTATTGTTAGCCGCCCAGAGTAGACTTTGGTCTAGATGGGCAGGGTATAAATTTAATTAATTAATAAATCTCTCTCACACTCACTCACTCACAATTATATTAACCCCCCCCCTTCTTCCACCAAGGTTCAACAACCCTCATCACCGCTTGTTGGTATGCTTGTAATAAGGGTGGGAACCACCCACCATCCCGAACAGCCAACTTCACAATTTTCCATCCTCAGTTCGATATATTGTGCACCCTCACTTCTTAATTCATTAAATCTATTTAGAAATAAACATTTGAAAAAACTAAAATTATCACTGTATCAATGTATATTTCCACACAAAATCAAACTTTAAACACTACATTAATCCCTACTTCTTTTTCTTTTTCCTTCTCCTCCTCTGCCTCTTCATTTCTACTTCATCTTGACTGTTTGTTCCCTCGAACCTTTGTTCGTCACTCTGGTCATGTCTTCCATTAGTACAGCTCTCTCTTGCTCCTACACCTCTTCCTCTTCTTCTTCTTCCCTTTCTTCTTCTTGCTTAGGACTAGTAGATGAATTTTCCTTTCCATTTTCCTTTATGATTTTTTGCTCTGATTGGTTATCATCCAACAAGCCCCACTTATGCAAAAAGTCCACACCTTGCTCCAGTGAAGTTCTTGTATAATACTTCCCTTTGAAAAATACTCTAATATAAACTGGGCAACCCTAGTTATATTTTATTCTATTCTTGATGAGCACAATTTTCACAGGATACATTTGACATTTCACAGCAAAGAAACTGATATATCTGAACAGGTGCCTCTTTGTGCTTTAACTGCCCACTTTTCTTTCATAGCTTTCATAAGCATTGCTTTTTAAAAAACATTTGTAAATCTCATCTCAATGTCCTTTGGGAACATCCCAGATCTGTGTCTATATCATGCCTGATGTACTCTCTCTATATTCCTTTGACTCCATTGTTCACCTGGAACTACCTCTGGCAATTCCAGAAATTCATTTTGAAGATTCCTCTCCTGCATGCCTGTGCTTGCACCCTCAGAAAATCCAGATTTTCAAATTTCTTCAATATCAATAATTTTCTTGTCAATTAGATCCAATCTATCTTTTTGCTGATGAATAAGTGTTGCATTTGCTTTCAGTGTTTTCTAGTCTTTTAAACTCTTAAACCCAATGCTTTCAAATCTTTCTTGAGGTCTGCTGCAGTTTTTTCCATCTCTCCATTTATCTGTGCCACAACTCTGTGAGGTTTTTTCTAAATTGTCTGGCTTCATTTCTTTAACAGCTTTTGCCAATATTTTCTTATATTCATTCACAATGCAATAATGGGGTGGTATATAAATTAAAGTGATAAATAATTATTATCACTTTTTCATCTTTTGCCATTTCTCCTTTTACTTCTTCATTATTTCCAATCTTCCCAAAATTATCTGCTATTTGCTCCTAGTCTTTTTCCTCACCCATCTGCTCAATCTCCTATCCAAAGGATGTTTCTGTTCCAAGCTACCCCCTCCTTTTTAATTGTCATTGAAGCATAGTCATATTCTTCATTCCAGTCAGCAGGGAAAAGCAAAACGATTAACTCCTTTCACAGTAAAAGGCAGCTCTAGCTCACTCTCAGTGGCACAGTTTAACACATCAGTTCAAAGATTCACTTCCTGTAGGCTAATCAAACTCCAATTTCCAACAAAATAAACAGTCCTCAAATAGTCAAAGAACTCTGGCAAGACACAATTCAACAGCTCTCCAACCCAGCCAAATATTCTTCTGTTCACCCTCTCCATCCACAGCCTTTTGACAGCCACTGAAACATTAATTTCGCTTTCTCTGACCAGAACACACAGAGGAGAAAAGCAACATAAATCTTCAGATTTATAAAAGAAATAAATCAGCTCACTTGCTCAACAATCAAAGCTCCAAATTAACACAGAGGGCAGTCACAGCATTTCTTCAGCTATTTGCTATTCAACCCCTCCTTTCAGTTACTGAAGCTTTCTTCCAGACCAAGTACTTAATGAGGTAAACAACTATAAATCTTCATCATTTAAGTCTTATCAGAATGGGTTTAGTTTCACCTTACTCTGTCTTTCACAGCTTATTCAAGGATAGATACATTTTGAAAATAACATTCTGAGGCACTGAGATGGCAATCTGCTGTTTACATGATCAAGACTGGAAGTTTCCCCCAGCACTGCTGTAGTTACAATTAAAACCTGACTGTAATACTAACAAAATGACTAAGAATGGAGGAACTGATAGGGCTGCTAGCACAAACATATTTCTAATAAAATAATTAGAAAGGTCAAAAGGACCATCCACCATGGAGTGCAGGTTCTCCACCCTTCCCTCCTAAAACTGTCTGGGACAGCTTTGAACTCTGCTAGGCTGCAGAGACCATGGACCTTAATTAACATAACCGCCAGCAAGACAATAGGAGGACCATGATTGCTGCTTTGATTTGCATCTCAACAAGAACACTTTCTGGCAGTCACAGCAGTATTAACTCACATTTACATAGTTTCCTCCCTCCTGGACACTCCACACTCTGAGCGCCTAGACAGGTAGGGTGGACCAATTCCCCTATGCTAACAAGCTTCCTGAATTGTTCATTAACTACCATGCCTGGGTGAAACAATGCAACTAGCCACAGACCTATTGTGAGCAGATGTTTCCCTATGATGTCCCCCTAACAGCTGTGCCTGAGTAGGACAGTGTAACCAGTGATAAATCCTATTGTCAGAAGATGTCCATCCATGATATCGCCCAACTCATGGAATAGCGCCAGACTCCCACACCCCAAATCCTTTGTCTAAAATCCATTCCCCATTTGCAAAACCAGATCTATTGTCAGACAAATTGCATTCCAAGTCTCAGACACACACACACACTTGTATGTACATCCTATAGAATCTTTTTGTTAACTATTTCCTGATCACATATGCTGTACCTCAACCCTTGATTCCAGAATACAGAAGGTATAAAAACCCCTGCCACCATTCTTCAGGGTGGGCATTTTACCTCTTGCTTGTGAGAGGCTGTCCGTCAGGCTACTATTTCTTTATCTGATATATCAAATAAACGAAAACCTTTTTGAATTCTCTCTTGAGTCAAGATTTATTGGCAATTAACTTTGGCTTGAAAAGTCTAGGGGCTAGGCCGGACTCAACAGAACCATACATTCACACCTAAAGCAATGGAACAGTTGTTTTAATATCTGTCATAGTATTATATGCAGAACTATTATACAGTATGAATTACTATAAAGAAATAAGAGAACAAAAAAGGGGAAAATATATCATGAAATGCAAGAAATCAAAGGCAAATTTTAAAAAAGGTTGGAGATGCTGAAATATCTAAAGGGGAATATATAATTTAACCAGAATAATGACAATTTCCCAGAATAAGGAAACAATATAACAAAGAACTACAGAGAAGGGTGAATGATTTCTTTAAATCCTTTGATAAAGAACAAGCAACTCTGGAAAGTGTCGTTACAGCCATCCTCAAAACAATCAGAAGACATAAATAAATAACCACTTTCTATCTCAAGCTTTTTATTAAAATCCTAAGAATATGCCAGCAAACCTGAAAAACAAAACAATGGCTCAGAAATTGAAATCATTCAAAATATATTATCCCAAATAAATGGAACACAGAATATTTCAGTTACAGGAGCATCACATTAATTTCTCATGCAAGCAAACTGATACACTAAATGTTTACAATAAACTCTTCTACCAAATAAAGAGCAAGAAATGCCAGATGTTCAAGCTAGATTCAGAAAAAGAAGAGGCAGTAGAGATCATATTGCAAACATATTTTTGCTACTCGAGAATACCAAAACATTTCACCAGAAATACTGTAGATTACAGTAAACTAAGTTTACTAAGTAACTAAATTGGAATGTGTGCACTATGAAAAGCTATGGATCGCTCTAAATGTTTAAGGGGGAAGGAGTAGTGTTAAAATACCAGGAACATGGTGTCTTTGCAAATAATATCATTTGTTTCTTTTTTTAAAAGGTTTGGTGTCAGCACTCTTGCACAGCACACCTAGATACACATACATACATATACATGAATAATAAAATGAAAGGATGAAATTGCCTCTCAGTCCTAAATTCTAATCTTCCATTAGCTTTTCTAATAGAAACATAACTGAGTTCAAAAGCTTTGTAAATTTTTGTGAGTTATATTGTTGTTCAGATAAATAAATTAACACATTAAGTTCTGCTTTGATATCTCCAAACACTTCAAATATTATTTAATATTCTCAGTCCACTTTATGATTTTATCTTTGATATCAAGTATCAAAGAATTGTTATTACTTGTCAATAAAATATATTATTTTTCCGAATAGGTCTCCTACCTCTATGTCACAAATGAGGGAACTAAGGCACTTTGCATATATGTGCCAATCTCTTTCAGTGCCAATATTTGAGTGTTTGTAAGATCGAATCCACGCGACGGAGTGAGCTTCCGTCGCTTTGTCCCAGCTCCTTGCCAACCTAGCAGTTCGAAAGCATGTAAATGCGAGTAGATAAATAGGTACCATCTCGGTGGGAAGGTAAACAGCATTCCGAATCTAAGTCGCGCTGGCCACGTGACAACGGAAACTGTCTTCGGACAAACGCTGGCTCTACTGCTTGGAAACGGGGATGAGCACCGCCCCCTAGAGTCGAACACGACTGACTAAAAAAAATGTCAAGGGCAACCTTTACCTTTAAGCAGAACGACAGCACTCAATGATAAAAACAGCTGAACAGATTAACATAAGCAGCTGCTGAAACACAGGAACAAGCAACCTTATATTATTCCTGAACACTGTCATGACAGTTTCTACTCAAAACTATTCAGAAGTGCAGCAACAAAGTGTGATTTTTAAAAGTAGCATCAAAATCTTACTATATAAGGGTTATCTTTATACCACATGGTTGAGATTGAGTCTTCGTTACCTTTACTTCATCTGCCCGTCTGAACCTCTTCAGCTGCCTCAGTCGCATATATTCGGACTTTACACGCTTCCTCCAGCAAACTGGTCCCTTCTCAGATTTCTTTCCAGTTTGACCCATGATTCTCCTTACATGGAATAGAATCAGAATAAAAGATCAAATACAACAAGCCCTGTTTGAGTATTAGATCAAACATAGCAAGCCCTGAAAAAAAGCAAGCTGTTTCTCACAAATAAACATGTGCCTGATTTAGGCTGCAGGTGGGTACAACCTGCCTACAGCTGCAGCACACTCTTTTGAATGCCATTTTCTCCACTTTGAGGTTAACATGACAGGTGTTTCAGAAAGGCACCCTTCCTGCTTATTTTTCTCTAATAACTAAGTTGGAGGAATACATGTTACAATATGATCCTGGGCGTTTGCTGCTGCATCCTAATAGTATATATACAATACTCAACAGAAGTATCCCTAAGATTTAAGTTATTTTCAATTTGTAGTACCTACTGCTGTCCCTTGCTTGTGCAAATGGACTGTGTAAACTGTCCACTAGGAGCAGGAGCAAAGATTAATTGGTGGTAAAAAGTTGTAATTTTTGTTCATGACAAATGGTTCACCAAGAAATTGCCTAATTATACTGATGTTATTTCTTTACTACTAAATTTACTGCTCTTATTTTATTGCACATGTTCTCCATGGCCAGAACCTCATAGCACAATGGTTAGGTAAGGAAGTCAAAGCAGATTGAGGACAAAGGCTCCCTGCCCTCGTTCTGGTGTAGAGAAAGAGGGAGGGTTCCGGTTAGGTGAGACAACATTGTTTGTGCTGCGTCCTCCGGTCTAATCTTTTAAAGTTTTCTTCAAACAATTATCCTGTTCAAGACAGCCTGTACTTATTAGTATTCTTGCTGTGCTTGACACTGAACAAAGAGACGGAAATAGATTCAAAAACAACTTGTAAGCTAGACTTTGCGGTTTGTTGTGCATACCTTTGGTGATAGGACAAGTATAATCAACCAAAATATAACTGCTGTTTTGGGAAGTTGATGTCAACAACATCTGGGGACCGAAAGCTGGCGACATTATCTAAGTTCTCTGTTTAAAGAGCTTGTCTATACTCCTGCTACTTTAAGGACGGGCCGTCGCTGAGGCCTTGATGTTTGGAAGAGAAGGTTCACCTGAAGCAGGGAATAAATGCTTTGTTGGATGGCAGTCCCTTTGTTCCCACTTCCTCTACACTGTTCAACTGTTGATTAATCGGTGAGAACCTCCAAACCCACAGAAAGCCAGCTGAAGCGCCCCACTTTCTATAACTTTGATTGAAAAGCTTTGCAACTTCTGTATCAAGCAGGCACTCATTATCAAGTACTCACTATCAAGTAGAGATTCACGGAGTAAGAACGGCAGGTGTGGTAAGTCATTTGAGATTACTTCTCTGCCTTGAGAATGAAACTCCCTACAAACTTTGATATTTGTTGCTGCAAAGCCTAAAGATAGCAAAAGTCTAAAGACAACTTTATCTTGCCTGAGTACGGTTGGGAGCTGAGACGGACATCCAGTTGTGGGCTTCTTAAGAACTCTAAAGAAAACTTGGGAGTGCCC